TCGATCAGTTTTTTGCCAGCAAAGACCAAACATTTTATGAGCGTGGAATTATGCTACTACCAGAAAGATGGCAAAAGGTGTTGGACCAGAACGGTCAATATATAATTTAATAAAGTATTTGTTTATTATACGAAAACTGTCTTTCATTTTCACAAAAAAAACGAAATGACTTTCCGAACAACCCTATATTTTGCTTAATAAAAGCACCTCCTTGCTGGTTACTAGCGATACAACGGAAGTGTCATAACGGAAGCAGAAGTAAATGGTAAATTTTCGCGGAAGCTGAAACGGAAGCGGATGCAGAAGTGGAATTGTGCAGGGGTTTTGCGCCCTTTTCGCGAATATTTTGCTACAAATTCTGCATTTGCATCGTTAATATCAACAAAATAATCCCAAATGGAACTTCTTTTTAGCTTCAAAATTGTACTTATAACTTTTACAGCACTGAACAAACAATACACAAATTAAACGCTATAACTATAGGTATCAGTATTTTCGAAATTAAATTATTAGGAGAATTGACTCCCCCTTAGCTGCAAGTCCTAGACGTTTTTGATTAAAGTACGGAACTAATGAGAGAATAAAGTTTGGAAGACATCAACATACGAAATACTAAGAAATATGTAGATATAGGTCCTAAACTATAATAAAGTTATTTGCACAGGGATATCCTGCATTGACGCTACGGATGAAAATAATACGTTCCAGAGGGGTCTCTGAAAGCTGGCGCAAGTACTTGCACAACATGCACCTTTGCAACCAGCAATTCCATTTGAATTGTGTTTTTGAAACGGTCAAGTTCAGCCAACAGATAAAAGTAATAAATTTTTACAACTTGTTCTATTGTTCGGATACAATGGAATTCGTTTATTATGACTCCGCCTAAATTGACCAACCGCTTAATATGATGTAATTGCAGTATTAAGTTTGGTTTTCATATTAAATTTTCTATAGGAAAGTTTGGATATAATGACTCCGTTTAAAATGACATAGGTACCGTTTATTGTGACTGATTCTCAAGAAATCATATCCGGCTATAGTGACCCAAATGATTAATAATAACATTTTCGTTCCTTTTTCTGATCCTTCTCATGTATATTGATACTACAATTCATCGTTCTTGTTCTTTTTCTGTTAGTAAATATATACAATTTGTAGGTTTTTTTTATTAAACTAAATAACTACCCAAAATAGAAAGCCGCTTGTTATGGCGTGTTGTCATTTCCCTTCGATATCATTATAAGCGGATTCTGCTGTATATTGGTTTTTAAAAATATTAGAATTAAGTTTTTGTTAAGTTCCGATAAACTTCCGTTATAACAATGCAGAAGCGGATATAAAAATGTATGCCGAACTTCCGTTATTGCGGATTTGGAAACAGAGATCTGTTGCAACACTATTGGTTACCAACTGATTGAATGCATTGTTTTAATTATCCAGCAACCACCGTCACCGTCAGCCACCGTTATGTCAACATCGGTCACAGGCAGACGCCGGCTAAGCATGAGTTAGCGAAGACATGGAGGCACAGCCTGACGGGCGGCGACTGACCATCAATTTACGGATGATGAAGATCAAGCTTTAAACGGAATAATACTTTGACGGACTCCTGACGAGTGGCCACTGACTGTCAAATTACGAATAGGGGGAATCAAGCTCGATTTGGACTTTTATAAATTGGCACCCCTAATCAGTCTACTTGGTGCGGGAAATGAAGTATTTTATTCGTGTTTCATTAGAGACAACAAAAAATAATGACAAAATATTAATTTATTTACAAATAGACAACATATATATCTATGTATATATAAAAGAAATTGTAAAAGTATGATAAAAAGGTTGTCTTTTTTCCGTTTGTTGCTTAACATAAATACAAAAAAAAAAATTACCAATGGAGGCAGTGGCGGCTATTCAGTTAAAGGTGGCGTAGACCGTCATAACCCACTTTTTGGATAAAATTGAGAATTTTTCTTTTGAAGAGACACCACTGGATCGATACCAATATACATATGTATTAATATATAAGCCGCAAACTACGTAACTATGTAACAATAATAGATATTTTATAAAAAAAGAACATAAAAACACTAGGTATGTAAAAGAATTTATTAAAAGCTATTTAAAATAGGTACCTTTAAAAACCAATTTTGGTTACAATACCTAAATAATTTATAGGTATCTGAACCATATTTTAAGAAAATTTATTTAGCGTAATTTGAGCTATTAACTTTTTATCTACTACCTAAAAGTATGTATAAAGAGACTTAAAAAATCTTAATGCGCTTAATAATTGAAACAAATCTATTTTTAGGATTTATAGTAAAAATACACTGAAGCATGAATAATAAACCAATCAGCATGTAATTCATCACACCATTCATTTATCAATAAGCTAAGAATATTGACGTATACGTTTTCGAAAAAGCGCCGATTATAAATATATATTATTCGTCACTCACTAGTCAAGGTGTAACAAGTTAGTAGCACTTTAAACATTAAAATAATGTTATTTTTACGTTACTCATTCAATCACTATTATTCGTTTTAAATGTATGCAAAGTTTTAATACCCATGCCGACTAGGATGTATCCGTTCTCTCTGCACATTACAGAATAATTAACCAATCGCAATTATCTTGAAAACCGTCAAGCGTAGATTCTACTATGCATTAATAAAATCGAGAGAATTTAATTTTGCATCCGACGATTTTAAAATGAACATAGCTTCCCATTTGAAAAAAGTGAGTTATTGATGCTTGAAACACACAAATTCGAACATTACTAGAATAATGATTTAATTAATGTGCTTTGAAAGAAATTTAGATGGAAAGCCAAGCGCGTTTCATGCTCTTTTTTAACAGCGACAGCCGCATCTTTTTATCGAGTATAATTGCCGAGATATTAAAATTTTTGTAAAATACTACAAACGTAAATTTATTAGAAATTACTAACTCCAAAAAGATACCGCGCAGGCAAAATCTGTGCTTAACAAACTGGATATTAAAATCGATGTTGAATACAAAAATGTAAGAATATATAGGGTGTTCAATTTAAAATAAGGCAGCTGATGTATTCTTCCGGTATATCCGGAAATCTACCAGTTCTGAAATTAATTTCTGCAGATGAATGATTTGACTAGGGATATTATTGGAAATATTTTCTTCCAATTTTAACGGCAAAACCGCTAGAGAGCAAGACGCGCTTAATGGACTATCCTGTATACGTTTATTATATTATTTAAAATTGCTAATAAGGCTAAAATATCTAATGCACCCTGTCGTTGGACTTAAAAACTAATGATGTTCTAATTAAACATCAGCACATTACGACATTGTGCTCTGTAATTGAAAAATACCCACCGTAGGTTTTCGAAAATGGGATGAAAGTTTTTTAAAATCGGTTTTGTTGATTTTGAGTTTTCATAATAAAATTAACACAAATTCTTCTATTCTAAAGCATCCGTAGATAACTACATATGTGCTATATCATTATAAGGGTCAATTAGTCATATAATGAAAAAAGAACAACTGACTCGCTCTCTTTATCCCAATGAATATTTTTATATATAAAAAAATTATGAGTGCTGTCAGCACAGGGCAAGGTAATATTACGTAGTTACTATTAGCAATTTCTTATGCTGAAGTGTACGATGTGTTGCATACCTACTTACAAACAATTCCTTTAAATTTAATTATCCAAACAATTTTTAACACAAAGAAAGTGTTTAAACAAATTGTTTACAAAACTGAATTTCGACCACTCGAAGCAATGGTACTAACAGTTTCGAGCTCACAGTGACTAATAGGGGGGAAGAACTTGCCTAAATAAAAATATTTCTATAGAAAAAAAAATATTCATGTTTTGTGTAGTCAAGTCTATCATTTCGACTATTATTTCATTTATTATGTTCATGTTTATTATATAAAGGGGCTGATTTTAAGAAGTTTGTGGTATACCTCCTTTTACCATTTTTTTCTAAATGCACTTTACAATAGTTTCACAACAATATGGCATCTTCAGCAGTTTTACAATAAGAAAAGATTGTTATAAAGCTTTTGAAGCCGTCACAGTGTGGTAAAATAAATGCAACGTGCAATTAATGAACTAATGAAAAATAGATAGCGCCTTTTATTTGTTTAAACAAAGAAATTCATCACACCTTCATAATGCAATATTCCACAGAAATTTCATATTTTAGGTAAAAAGCAAAAGATTGGACGTTGAACAAAATTCTGACAATAAAAGTTTCGGCGACCGAAAATTTTGTTTATGAAACGGCGTTTTCTCATACTGTACATGTACATGTAAACATATGACATGGGCATGAAAACCTCGTCGTACATTCAAACATTTACTTAAACATGAATTATTCAACTACACAAAAAACACTTACAACTTATTAATTTTAGTTAAACACCCTGTATTTCACGATTTTATATTAATCTTAAAGCAAACATATACGTATATATACATACATGTGACCGTATGTAGCTGTGTACAGATACTGATACTATACATTTTGTTTGGTTTCAGCCTTTTTTTAGATCTTAATAAATATTATCAGAACGTTATAAGTAGTTTCGATAAATCAAGGACCAAACCGAAGAGGCTCCATATAAGCTTGTTAATATAATATCGAGTTATGGCAGTATATCGACATTACAGCAGCAAATACCAGTAGAAGGTGATATACTGGCGCAACTTGATATTAACTTAAAGTTCTTATTTATATGTATATAATTTATATAAAACATGAGCCACTTTTTAATTAATTTGCTTCAAGAGTTTTAATTTCAATTTCTACAATGTTTCTTTTTGGACAAAAAATTCATAATTAAAATATTAAAAAATAGAACGTGCTTCGCTGACTTCACTTATTTTAATTTATTTGGCACAGTCTCCTAATTTCTGTTTCTCTCATTAATAAAAAACAAATATAATGATTCTATGGCATTCTAAAGTAATACTGCAAAAAGTGTAATTTGCACCTTTTACGGCCATAAATTATAACTTTCAGTCTGACCTCTTGTTTAATTTACATGAAACTAATCCATAAAAGGTTGCTGTTGGTCATTTAAATAAATAATAGAATTTTGAATTGCCATTTAATGTTATCAGTTCTTTTTAATAAGAATTCTAATTTATCATGAAGTGGGGTGCTTCATTAGAATTCCTTTTTTTTTTTTTAATTTTTCTCTTTGAAGATACTTTGGAAAAATTGTACAAACATCGTATACTACCTGGAAGGGAAATATTTACAGACACAGCCATTAATTCTTTTTCTAAATTGTTTAGAATGAAGATAATAAAACCATAGTGGCAAGAATAAGAATCCAATAATGTAAATTGCAAACACTGTTGTTTCAACTGGCATTAAGCATTTGTAAAACACGTACTCATCAGGAGTTGCTACAAACTATGAAAACCAAAGAGTTAATCCAAAATTTGTACTTTACTGTTTGCAGGAATAAATAAACATTACTTACCAAGCCATAACTGGGATTTATTTTATTTCTCCAATTGAAACTGGGCAATGTTATTTCAATTCCATTATTAGAAGGTAGAGATCTTGTGCAACCATGATGTGAATGACCAGATACAGCAAGCCTCGGCTTAATTTGTCTTATCAACTGTTCTGTTGCATTCTTTCCTAAGCAATCCCACTTTTCTTTATATTTCTCAATTTTTTCAGGATAAGGAGCTTCATCGGGTTCAGTACAATTTATATCTGACTGTCGATACAGAGGAAAGTGCTACAAATTTATTAATTAAAAATAAAAAAAAACACAGCTTGAAACAGAAGAAATTAACAAGAATATTTAAAGACAAACTTGAGAGACGCAATTAAAAAACTTCAAATACACGCCAGGGTATAAACAAAAATCATGCCAGAATAGTCGCTGCTTAATGTTTCAGAATAAAATCCAAAGCAGAAGGAATTCAGAATTTAACTTTTTTAAGATTCACAACAGGTAGTGAAGCAAGAGCAAATTAATAAAGAAAAAAAGTGCAGGTTGTGCAGAAATGAAGAAACAATGGAAAACATTATAAAAATATGAACAATTAAAAATAGTCAAAAAGATGAAGAAGATACAAATAAATAGAAATTGCAAATATACACATATTATTGATATTATAAGTAAAAATTCAAGACAAACTGTCAATCAATAAATACAT